CTGTTGAACAAGTGGCTCAAAAGTTGCTTTTGAGAGATTGTCACAGGATTGAGCATTCAAGATATCAGGCTGTTTCTCAGCCTGCCCCAGTTCTGGCTTTTTGCTGGGAAGAGAGCTGCATTCAAATAGCCACTACAGGACAGACTTGTTGTTGTTGTTGTTTTTCTCCAGGGAGATGTATCATGCTTCTATGTCATTTCTACTTGCTATAAGAATATGTTTAGGATAATTGTAGCTTTCTAAAATTTGTAGCTATGCTGAATAGGATTTACAAACTTAAAAACAATGGGATGCTCTGAGTAGTTAAAAGATTTTATGATTGGACTTTCTGCTTGCAATATGCCTTGTCTGCTTCCATTGTGTGAATGTGTGTGGCCCATCTGCTTATGTCGTCACTGTAGGCGCTCAGCTCACTTCCCCTTGCTCGTTATGGCTCTCCTATAATATATCCATTAGGAGCAAGTGCCAGGAATGTAACTCATCTTATTATTAAGGAATAACACAAGTGGAAGCTAAGCATGTGACAGAAAGTATCAAATAATACATTCCAAAGCCCATTGTTTGAGGCATTGGGAATACTTGTCCTCATGATGTGGGAAACAAGAAAATATATGTACATGGCATTACATAAGACTTCAGTACATTATTGTTATTAGTGAGGGGTGAGACAAAGTGCGTCTACTTGAGTCTGTTCTAAGCATTTCACTGGTTAACTCATTAGTCCTTCACAATAACTCTGTATGTTAGATACAATAATTATTCCCATTTTTGTATGAGAGGATACTAGGGTGGGGATGCGCCATTGCAGCAGTGGTGGGTTAAGCCAAGACCTGTGATGCCAGCATCCCACACACACACAATGCAAGTCTCATGTTGCAGCTATTCTGCTTCTGCTCCAACTTCTTGCCAATGTTCCAGGGATGGCAGCAGAAAAATAATCCAACTTCTTGGGGCTCTAACCCACATGGGAGACTAAGAGACAGTTTCTGGCTCCTGGATTTGACCAGGCTCAGCCCTGGCTATTGCGGTCATTTGAGGAGTGAACCAACAGGTAGAAGACATCTCTCTTGTTTTCTGTCTCATTCACTGTACCTTTCAAATAAGTAAGTAAATAAATATTTAAATAGAGGAAACTGGGGCACAAGGAGGTAAGGAATTTGCCCATAGTTACACAGGCAGAAAGTGGTAGACTTCCAATAGCAACCAAGGCAGTCTGGCTCCAAAGTTGATAGTACTAGTTAGTGTGCAATACTAGTTAGTGTGCAATTGCTACTGCAGGAGGAATCTCGAGCTATTCATAAAAGAGTCACTGACTGCTCCAGGAGCCCAGGAGCAATAGCTGCCTGACTCTTTGCCCTTGGCTTTGCAATAAAAACCTGCTTTTTTCCTTCACCAACCTGATATCAGTGGTTGGCTTTTTGCACTTCAAGCAAGTGGATCCAGTTTGGGGATTCTACAACAATGCCTCCAAATGTGGCAGCCATTGTTGGCCTTGGTATCTGATCCCAATTTGTTCATGAGGGCTGCATTTTGACAAGTGGTATGACTTGATTGATGAATCTGATCACTCCCCCGCCCCTCATACTTTATTTTATTATCATTATTTTTTTCTATCTTGCCTATATTTTTAAAGGCATTTCCTTAGAGAAAATGTCCCCTCCAAATAAACTTTTTTTTTTTTGAACATAGAATAGGTCAGTCTGTGGCAGAGCCTTGGGACCACCTGAATTGTCACACTGGGTAGGTCTTTGGAAGGTTTTGCTTTCTTCTGGGGAATATAGCAAGAAGATATTGCAGTGTGCATTCCAGAGGTCCCGCCTTCAAATCTCAGACACATAAAGAGTTTTGTTGATGTTAGCACACTGATTTATTGAGTGCAAGTTGCCCATCAGTCCCTTACACATTTCTTCCTAAAAAAATGCTGAGTTTTGGCTACCCAATACCACTGACTTGCGTCTGAATGGTGCAGCCCCAGCCTTGCTGGGGTGTTTTTGTGTTCTCCAAGGGAAGTCCTGGTGTTACTTTTCCTGACTCACCTGCCTCTATGTCCCATAAATTGCCCTTTCCAGCTGTGTTTCAGCCAGCCCTGGGTCCTCTCTGCAGGACATCTCTGAGCTGAATCTTGTAGTGTCTGGAGTCCTGCTTCACCTGTGCCCCAACCCACTCTGCTCTTTGCCTCTCTCCTACCTCTTCCACAGCAATTCTTTTCCCTTTTGGATTCCCAGGGGCCTTACATATATATATATATATTTTTTTTTTCAAGAGAAGGTTTGACTTACAGAAATATTGGAAAGCCATTACTTTATGGCAGGGATATATTCATACTTTCCATGCTGCCATTGATAATTATGTGCACAGATGATCTTTTACAAAATTTTATTTCTTGGACCCAATGCAGTAGCCTAGTGGCTAAAGTCCTCACCTTGTGCATGCCAGGATCCCATATGGGCACCAGTTCTAATTCCGGTGGCCCGACTTCCCATCCATCTCTCTGCTTGTGACCTGGGAAAGCAATCAAGGACAGCCCAAAGCCTTAGAATCCTGCACCCGCATGGGAGACCTGGAAGAGGCTCCTGGCTCCTGGTTTCAGATTGGCTCAGCCCTGGCCTTTGTGGCCGCTTGGGGAGTAAATCAATAGATCAAGGATCTTTCTCTCTGTCTCCTCTTCTCTGTGTATCTGACTTTACAATGAAAGTCAAATAAATCTTTTTTTTTAATTAATTTCTTTTGTTTCTTTGAAAGGCAGAGAGAGAAAGATTGATTTGCCCTAAGCTAGATTACTTCTCCAATGCCTACAATAGCCGTCGCTGAGCAGGTTGAAGCCAGGAGCCTGGAACTCAATCTGGACCTCCCACATGGATAACAGGAATCCAAACACTTAAGCCATCTTCCACAGCCTTCCAAGATGTGCAATAGCGTGAAGATAAAGTAAGAATCAGAGCCGGGACTCAAACCCAGGACTCCAGTGTCAGGTGCCAGAGTCTGAAATGGCATTGTGCCTGCCACAGTGATTGTTTCAATGCCTTGCTCTGCGTCGCTCTAATTGGGCCATATCCTAGGAAGTACCACTGGAAACCCGGCTATTCTTCCTCAGCCACTGGAGTCTTAAATAAGGCAGCGTTACAGCAATGGTTGAAGAAAGCTGAAGACAGGACGCTCCACAGTATCAGGGCATCAATCCCTGGTTTTCTGAGCTGCTGATTGTTAATTCAGGAAAGCTTTATGGAACATACATATTTGGAATTTGTTTTTTCGATTTGGAAAAACATTGCAGTATCCCTGAAAGTAAGGTCTGTATGTCCAGAGGGCATAAAGAACTTTGTGAGTGTTCCTTATGTAAATTATATTTATAATAATTGTTTTGTGGCATTGGTACTTTTGGGGAAAAGATTTAACAGTTGGCTCAATTTGATGGTATGCTTCAAAGTAATAAGAAATGTTTATTTATCAACAGGTCCTGTAATTAAGCAATCTCACTCGTCATGCTGACTTCTCCGTTGAGACCTATTACAGGGCCAAGAAACTTAAAAATGTGCATACCCCCCAAGTTTGTAGGAGTTTTGGAAATACTATCTCCTCATTCTATTAGAAGCCAAGAGGTCATTTTTAATGTCTTTATAGCCACCAAGAGGTACTTTTCTGAAAGCGCCCATAGGAGTATTTTATCAGCAGGATTCCTGATAGAAGATTATTTGGATTCATAATCAAGTCTCTGGAACTTGATTTTATGGAGGTGGGAAGGAGTGGAGGTGTGCATCATTTTATGCAAAACACACAGAAGTGTTTCTTACAAGGTGCTGGTTTCTTTTGATTTTTCGTTGTTTGAATTCGATATTCTTGGCACTTAACCTATAGTTCTTCGTGTGTTTGTTCTGGGGGTTAAGCCTCACTCAGCAGTGCTGGGGAGAACGGACTCAAGGGCTTAGCAAGGATCCGCAGTGATTCTGCCCCTAGCCCTTCTCTTTTGGAGTCACTGCTCCCTCTGGCCAGCCCTCCTGCCTCCTTGCGTGTTGGATTAGATTTACAACAGCTGCTGTGGACATGGTTGCCTAAACCTCTGGAATGTTTAGCTGAATGCTTCTGGTGAAGTAGTTCACACCAAGTCTGTACCTCCTGTTTTTTTTTTTTTTTTTAATTTCAAATGCCCTTTAATCATAGTCTTTTATGCACTTGATCACTCTATCATTTTGTACTTCGACATCCTCATAGATCCGTTAAGAAATTTTACTTCAAGCACCAGGACTTACTTAACATTTTGATTAACCAAGCTGTTATTCTGTTTGAGCTAAGCGATGACAGTGTATTTGATTGGAGCCCTGGAATTGTTATTTTAAAATCAAAGTAATGGATTATGATCTCAGAATAAGGACATGATCCCAAAGAATAATAATAATTAGAACATCAACCAATTAGAAGAAAAGAAGCACCCCACTGTAGAACACTGGACTCTGTATCCAGATCCTGAGGACCTCTGCAGGTCATCTCCTGCTGTTCCCACCCTGGGGGAGCCTCACTCCACCTTCTAGTTCTTTGAAGTAGGCACTTTGTGGGAGTTGGGTGCTTTGTTCTCTCTGCCTCTGCTGCCCTTGCTCTTGTTGACTGTTTCCAGCCTCAGCATGGCCACCACATCTAAGCCATTTCCTCTCACCCAACTCTTGTTCACATATATACACATCACTATCTTTAGCCACTTGATATTTCCTTTTGCATCAGAAAATCTAACTTGTATCTCTTTGCTACCTCTGTGTCTTGCCCACTGTACTCCAAACTCCAGATCAGGTACAGATTACACTTAACACTGTTCTCACTGTAGCCTCACTGCATCCTGGCAGCTGACATGAAGTAGGTACCTAGACCCTGATTTCAGTGGGACATTCAGAGGTCTCAGCCTTTTCTAGAGCTCACAGCAGGATGTTCTGTGCTTGGCGCTTCCTGAATCTAGTGCAGTAGCGTGATCTTCTGGAGGCTGAATGTAACCAAGCTGTGCTGATTTTTCTCAGGCATATGAAGGATCAGAATAAGAAGGTGGCCAACCTCAAGCACAACCAACAGTTGGAAAAGAAGAAGAATGCCCAGTTATTAGAAGAGGTCCGCAGACGAGAGGATAGCATGGCCGACAACTCGCAGCATTTGCAGGTGAGCTCGGGGCTTCTCTTCCTATAATTGGAGATGGACTCTCTCTGCCATGGAGCCATTGCTCTGGGAAAATGGGCATGACTCGGGTGAACTTGCCTCTGCCTTGAGCCTGGCACTCACAATGTACTTCCAAGGAACCCGATGCATCTTCCCAACTGTGGAACATCATTTCCAAAATGGTACCCAAGAAAAATCAACTTGGGTGGAGCACTAAGAGATACTGCTCACTCGGAGTTTCTTGGTACCTGTACCTCACCTTAAAAGGTAAGAGCTGCGTTGGTATAGTTGATAAGAAGCATAAAACTCCTCATACATCGTCTTTATCTTTTTTTTAAAAGTTGTCTTAGGGTTGATGGAAGGAAAATATGTGTTGTCACAGAAGATGTTTGAAAATGGTTATGGCTAGCAGATCTCAGACAGTTTACAAACTGGTGTTGTTTTGTTGGAAACATTGAGGCTCTGTCCTGGATCATTGCTCTGTTTTCTCCATGAATTAGTTATCTCTATTTGACCAGCCCTTTCTTGGAAAACAAATGACCTACTGAAAAACACCAATTTTTCCTCATTAACCATCCCCATTTTTGGCAAAGGATCTTCCCCCGTGTGCTCAATAAAACATTCAAACTAAAACAGGGCATTTGCTTTGAAGTTTCTTTATTCCAGTGTGCCTTTAAATGAAACAGTTCAAGTTCTCCTTGGCTGGATTTCATGTTACATTTACTTATTAATTAGCGTCTTTCTCCAGTTATATATGAGGTTTCCTCCTTGGAGATGGAAGAACTTAGATAATTTCAATATGTACTTACAGTTCATCTTCTTAATTGACTGAAGGAGAAATAAATAAATATTCCAGAATAGCAAACACCTTGCTCAATGTGGAGTCCGTGAGGGATACTTGATCAGTATTAGTTTCACTGAATCTTCTTTTTCATTGGTGCTTCATCTGGAGTATTCACTGAATAATACAATGGCAGCATGAAGTCCACTATTCAAATGTGGTCCCTCTTTAGCAAGGACCAATAAGTTACTTGAATCCCCAGCTTCCCATGACCAAGGGTTTCATGTTTCAGTGCCCCTCCACCACTTCTCTCACTATCATAGAATGTGTTAGATTGGTGATTAAGGACTGAGACTATAATAAGTTAATACAGAACATTTTAATGGTGCTTCCAACCATTTTATTCCTCTCGGTAGTATTGGTGATTTTGCATATGAAGAAATTAGAGTCTCAGAAAAGTTATGAAACACCGTTTCAGTAAAGAATGGCCATGGACCTGACTGCAGGTTTGCTTGCCTTTGGGAACTGATGTAAAAGGAACAGTAACAGTGGTAGGTACCATTTATTGAGTGTTTCAATATGCTGGGCACTGTGCTATGTAAAGTGACTGCTATTTAATTCTGTGTCTGCTGGGTTAAACAGGACTCTGCTGTGTGACAGGGACACAGCTCAAGCTCCATTATGAGGGAAAATGGAGAATTTGATTCAATTCACTGAAAAGGCCAGGAGTGGGTGTCTGGCCCTGACCACAGGTGTTCCACCAGTGGCAGCAGGTTATGCCTCCTAGTGGCTGCTCGCAGGGATGCTGTGCTCTTTGGCCTGGAAAGCAGAAAGCCCAGGGGAAGGAGAGTGCCTCTGGCTGGTAGACTAAGCATTCAGTGATAGAACGTGCACAATCACCAGGCTGGGGCTGGGCTGTGTGGTCCCATGGAGCCTGAGGAAGGGATCAACTTCACTTAAACCCTGAGGGGCCAGATGCTGTCCCACCAGAAAGAAGTGATTTTCATTACTGAGAGGAGTTCTGGGCAGATGATGCCACAGCCATATGTTGCATCCCACAAGAGTAGATTATGTTATCCCATTTGCTATGTGAGGAAAAGAAGGTGCTCAGAGATGGACTAACCTGTACAATAGGGCCTAGCTAGTAAGCGGCAGAGTTGGGACTTAATCCTAGATCGAAGAATGTGGGTCCTGAAAAATTAGAAAAGCAAGGAAACCGTAGTGTGACAAAGGGAATTTTTGTGGATCAGGTGGGATTTGAGCTAAATGTGCATTGCTTGTGTCAGAGGTGGAACAATATGGGAAGCCTTCCTTTCAAAGCAATTGTCAGGAAAGGTACAGGAGTTGGATAGAGCAAGATACAGTCAGGACAAAAACAAAAGCATTTTGTGGCAATTTTCAGTGAATGAGTGTTATATTCTTTAACTACTCTGGGGCTGGAACATCCAAGTTTCATTCCAGACTTGAAAGTTTACCAACTGAATGTTTGAGAGAAGGTTATGTAACCGCCAGAAACCTCAATTTATTAATCTGTAAGAGGGGGATAATAGGGCCTGGCGCAATAGCATAGTGGCTAACGTCCTCACCTTGAATGCACCAGGATCCCATGTGGGTGCCAGTTCTAATCCCAGCAGCTCCACTTCCCATCCAGCTCCCTGCTTGTGGCCCAGGTGGGGGAGGGGGGCAGTCTAGGACAGCCCAAAGCTTTGGGACCCTGCACCCGCATGGGAGACCTGGAGGAAGCTCCTGGCTCCTGGCTTTGGATTGGCTCAGCACTGGCCATTGCGGCCACTTGAGGAGTGAACCGTCGGATGGAAGATCTTCCTCTCTGTCTCCTCCTCTCTGTGTATCTGCCTTTCCAATAAAAAGAAATAAATCTTTAAAAAAAAGGGGGACTAATACATGTATCTACTTCAGAGTTGTTGTGAAGGCCACAGAGCCGATGCGTGTGAAGAATTGATGACTATAAGTGACGTAGTCCATGCTCAAAATAGGTGTTACTGATGAACTGTCGGAGCAATAAGGAAAAAGTGAATGAAATGTTTAAAAAGAGAGAGGTCTGTTAGATTCATGGACAGTAACACGGTTTTGCCCTGATGTGCATTGAACATCAAAGTTTACTTTTCTATATATAGCAATTTCTTCTTTTCTAAGAACACATCTAGTTATGGAAATTAATGTCTTGTTTTGGCCCATGAACTTTTGTATAGCAATATTTTCATAAAGGGCCTCGCCTTGATAGCTACCTCACAGACCTATTTATAAAAGATAACATGGTCTGGAATTGCTTTAGTTGCATTCCTGACCACCCCAAATAAAGGATAGCATTTGAAATGCAATAAAAGTGATCACGATTAATTTTGATGAAAATGTCTCTGGTTAAGGTTAATAGAGAGTGAACCTCCCACTGTCCTGGCTTCTTGAGCAGATGGATTCAGATGCAGTAATTACTGCCTTCTAAATAGAGCTTTCTGCAAGCACTTGCGTTTTTAATATGAATGTTGGTTAAGTGCTGTAAATATAAGTCAACCAGGATTTGAGTTGGTTGATTGGTTGATTAAACTGGGGTTATACAATTTGCACTGGTATATTCACTGTATTCTATGCTAGTGTTTTGTAATGATTGGATGCCCTGGTTTCATCATTTCAACCAATGACTTAGGAATTCCGAATGTATCCAGTGGCACACTGTTTGCAGTAGTAAATGTTGGGTTACCATTCCAAGGAAAATTTGAAGAGATTCATCTATTTGGCACAGAAACCAGAGATAGAATTGATTAAATGCTATTTGTTGTTCAAACCAGGATACAACTGAAAAAGGTAAAACCTGGGCCACCTCATCCAAACCTGGACATATTGTCATGATACAAAACCTTTCACAAACATGACCATCCTTAGATTTTATGTTTATGATTTTGTGGGAAAAAATTGTAAACACCTGCCTTCAGGGTCTAAAAAGACTAGTGTTATGAGTTATAGGTTGTTATGTAAGAGGAATGTTGATGTTTGAGTCTCTCAGCTTTTATTTTCTAATTTTATTAGGCATGTATCAACCAGCAATTACTAAAGTTAAGAGTGTGTAACACAAGATTCCAAATCCTAGTGGGTTCAAGACATCAGGCTTTTATTATCACAGGTTTGCACATTGACTGAATGGCTCAGTGGCTCCAGGATGGGCTTGGCTGGGGACCTCTGCTATTCCCTGATGTCTGGGACTAAGTGGGAAAACTCTATTCCATGTGTATTCATTCTAAGGCTCAGGCTGAAGAAGCATCAACAACCCAAGAAAACTTCTAATGACAGTCATTCTGGCACCAAAAAACAAGTAAAAATCAGGAAAGGACTCCTAAGGCCTCATTTTGAATTGACACTGTGATTTTTACTCTACCCACTGGGCAAAACACGGCCTGTGGCATAGTGTGTTCTACCCAGAAAGAGAACATTGCAAAGGGAAAGACAGGAGGAGGGGTGAAAATTGAGTCCAATCTATCAAAACAGACAAGGTTCAGAGAACTATTTCTCGATCATTAGGGAAACAATAGCATGAACATTAGGGAGTTTGAGTGGATGTAATTGCTAGTGATGAGGACTCCAGGAAACTTATGAGTCAAAGAAGGCCCACTAAGCTGTGGTTGAACATTGCTTTTAAAAAGTGGGCCTGGAGTTATATAACTACTTGGTTATCTGAGACAAGTGATAATATATGAATTTTTATGGGAAATTTATGGATTTTTTTAAAAAGATTTATTTATTTATTGGAAAGTCAGATATACAGAGAGGAGGAGAGACAGAGAGGAAGATCTTCTGTCCAATGATTCACTCCCCAAGTGAGTGCAACGGCCGATGCTATGCCGATGCGAAGCCAGGATCCAGGAACTTATTCCGAGTATCCACATCGGTACAGGGTCCCAAAGCTTTAGGCCTCCACTGCTTTCCCAGGCCACAAGCAGGGAGCTGGATGGGAAGTGGAGCTGCTGGGATTAGAACCAGCACCCATATGGGATCCTGGTGCGTTACAAGGCGAGGACTTTAGCCGCTAGGCCACACTGCTGGGGCCCATTTTTATGGATTTTTTTGAAAGTTGGTTCAACATTGTAGATTCTCTGAGGGTTTTAATGGAGCCTATCTGCATGTGAATTATCCACTGGGTTGTGGATGTCATGGCGTAATCTGGCACTCTGAGCCCACAGGGGTGATATAATGAAGAAGATAAAGACACCGA